AAAAAATGAGTAATGCAATCGATTGTTATAACAAATCGACAATCCCATCAAATAATAGTAAATGGGAAAAATTCATATCTGCCCTCTAACCTAAAGGCCCTCGTGATAATGTGATGAAGTGGTTATTTGGCGAGATTATACGCCGCAATGTCATGGTTAGAGTCCCGCTGGGGGTGTTGATAACTGCAAAGTCTAGTCTTATCATTATGAGGAAATTCCGCTACCACTCCTCAATCACCTTAAACGAAATGGGTTGAACACATCTCATAAGTCAAGCCTTTGCCAACTCACATTTTATTGTAGAATATCCGATTAATAAATATGAGTTTGTAATTGCAAGAGATGTCGTGACTTAATTTTGATGTTATAGCCTTCTTATTATTTAAAAATTACTGATCGTTTTGAGTGCTACTCACATGGAAATTAATAACTCTTATTATTTCCCGACACTCACAGTGTACATTATCGGTGAATATTTGTTCTGCTTGCCAGGAGGGAGAGAGTTTGCAAATGGACATTTTGTCAATTTTTGCCTGCATTTAGATGGAGGCTGCTAGCGTTTTGATAGTGCGTCCGCGTAAATACTTTCATACACACGTTAACAAAAGCCTTTCGGAGTGTAACAAACTATCTCCCCATTCCCCTTTCTTGGGACAAGATGCTTCGGCACTAATCATATGCACCTCATGGGAATACACACAGCTGCATTGGAGACCTCACCCTGAGCCGGAGTAGAGGAGAACGTGAAGAGTGAGAGTGAAGAAGTCGACGCGTGGGAGTTTGTGAGACATTGCGCTGAAATTTAATTGAAACCCGACTGAAATGCTTGCGGTCAGATCCTTCATCCATTGGAAGCATATGTCTGTAGAGTGTGGTGGGCAACGGCAGATGCGGGGTGCACATTCGAGCTGTTTGTCAGATATGCGGATAACCTGCTTAGTCAGTTGCTGGGTCTGTCCACGCCTAAGCAGAAGACAACAAGCAGGAAGTTTGGCACTATGCAATAGATCTAACAGTAATTCTTCGTAGAAATGAGGATTTTCGGCCGGCAATTGATAGTATGTTTGCAGCAGTCAGCTTATGCTTGATAGTTGCTGCTTTAAAAGTTCCATTTTGCTCTGCGATGGTATTTGTCAGATTATAGCATTTAACCTTTCTTTGCCTCTCTCCTTAAATTAAGTTTCGCACATTCCAATTTTGAAATATGGCTCTGTGAACTGCAGAACTTTTCAAAAGTACCTTCACTATTTTCCATTCTGTCATTTTCAGAGAGATTTAGTTCCCAATAGATGACTATAGCCAAATCAAATAACAACGAGAGACCGCCGAAAAAGACACCCCATGCTTGAAGTAAGATTTAGATGCTTAATCGTCAAGTTTGTGCTGAGAAAAAAGGCTTGATCTTTTTTGCATTGTATTGAACTAGAATGGTTGATTTTAGGGCTTCATACAGATGCGTGGGATTGTTTACTTGGATTCGCTCACATATATTTACCCACGAATTGGGCAAAATACTTACTACTCTTTAACCCTTCGTGATATAATTGACCTATGGCGTTTTAGCTTTCTAGCGACGTATAGTATGTTCCACCAGAATACGACGG